GATCGCGGGGAAGGATGTGCCCACATTTCCTTCACAGCCAATTGTGGCGTCCTGTCCTCCTCTCTATTTCCACTTAAGTTCTTTTCCCGGCTCCTTTCCAGCACCTCTGGTAAATAAACAGCAGGCTCCAGAGTGTCTTGATGGTGGCTACAAAACAAATTGGTTGGGTGGATCTGAGTCCATGCTTACGGGGCTGGAACAAAGAAAACAACTTATTATAATACCTTCTGACAGACTCTACAGGATAGAGTTTATCATTTATTTAGCTGCAGTGAATTTTGTTAAACTTATATTTCTGGTGCTAAAGAGAGGCAGAAGAAGTTTTAGCAAATTATCGTAAACTTTGAATTCAGAAAGGAAAAAGATGACTTTCATTTTGCCTTTTTGTCCCCTTTACTTTTTCTGAGTTTCTGAATCTTTGCGTGTGAGGTCTTCATTGGTGTCTAGTGTCAGCACAGGACATTGGGCTGCGTGCCGTGGAAAGGAGATTGAAGGTAATTGCTTATTGAGGGATGACTAGACAGAATGTGTAAGAAAGAAAGGCTTGGGGCACCTGAATGGCTTAGTCAGTAAGCAGCTGCCTTTGGCTCAGGTCATGATCTCGAGGATCCCTAGGATCGAGCCCCGCATCGGGCTTCCTGCTCAGCAGGAAGTCTGCTTCGCCCTCTGTCCTTCCCCCTGCTTGTTCTCTCTCAAATAAATAAAATCTTAACAAAAAAAGAAAGAAAGGCTTGGTAGGAGCCCACTGCCCTCAGCCATGCTGTCTTATGGCCTAAAAACCTGCTGCTTAGAGCAGAGGCGAGCAGAGCCCATGCCACTTGGACAGGCTTAGTCTTTACATCGAACTTACAGTAGTTAAGTCAGTCGAGGACTGCAACATTCAGGAAGAGGTGGTTGAAATGCCATTGTTATATTGGAAACCTGTAGGCAACAACGTGCTGGACATGTCTGAGTATAACGTTGTGGGTGTAACTGCCAATGGGCAAGTGAATGGTGCATTTCTTTGGACTTTGCCTTGCAACAGGTGGATGAAGAGTCTCCTGAATGAAATACTGTGGTCTTCTGTGACACAGCTCACCACACTTTAGACCCAAGGCCAGAAAATCCGTGGCTAGGGGGACGGGGTGGTCTGTCAAAGCCAACTCTCTGGTAGTACCTTGCCCTTATGGCTTAGGATCCAGAAGATAGAGAAATCTGTGGTTATGTTGATGTGGTACCTGAAAGTGCACCAGTTCCTGCTGAGAGCAGGGCGGTCTCCACGGGAATTCTGACCTCCCCCTTTTCACAGCTGCCGAAGGCCTGTGGGAGGCCGGTGCTGATGGACTCCGTCCTTGCTGGCCGCTCTCGGCACCGCGGCGGCGCTCTCGGAAGTACTCTGTCCCAGCAAAGGGCCAGCTACCCTTGCCCAGAAGCCGAGGCTTTCCTGCCTGCCTGATTGATGAACCTTCGCGGCAGAGACAGGGCCAAGGTCACGGTAAATGTGCTCTGCAGAAAGCTGTGGTGGCGTGATGCCAGGCTTGTGCCATGGAAGCCCCGTGTGAAGGGGGTGGTGAGTGTGAGCTCTCGAAAGCCCTCAGGGACCCCACCTGCCAGGTTCCAGGAAGAAAGGGCTCTCCGTCATGATGAGCCTCTGCGTGTTTTGGCTGCTGCTGTAAATGTGTCATTCACTTTGATTTAGCCTCAAATACAAGACAGGTAATTTTGCTTTTGAGACTGTCAGATTGTGAAATCACAAACCATGTTCATGATCCAATGAAGGCAGACCTGGAAGCTTTTCCTTAAAGCATCTGAGCACTGGTGACAACTTGCTGCTCATTAGCGTGGACAAGGCGAAGGGCGATTATGGCTTTTTACCGTTCTGGAACTCTCTTCACTGCTCTGCAGCAAAAGATCATTTTCTTAGGCTTCTCAAAGTGATTTGTCAGAAAGATGGTATAATTCGGGAATACCGTCAGACCTAGAGGCTGAGAGTGAGAGATGGTGTATAGAGCGTAGGGGGCTGCCCAGGTAAAAGCAGAAATTCAATAAAGAGCTGATTGGTGAATGAATGCAAATGGAAATTACACCCCTTAGGATCCCCCAATTTAAAAGTGTTCTGAACACCCTTCATTTAAACTGCAGAGATCTGATTCTCTCCCTCTCCTTGTTTCTGTGATCCAGGTGACCTTTATTGAGTTCCTACTGTTTGTAGAACTCAGTCCATGTGATGTAGAGAGATTTGGGGACCCAGAGCTTAAGTACCCTCAGAGAGATAGAGCACACACAGGAAAATAGTGTTGCTCCTAAGCATCTTTGTTAGATTCCCTTCAAAGCAGAACCTTGGATAAGTCTGTTAGCGTAGGTCAGTCATTGGGAAACCGTCCTCGGGAAGTAGGAGTGAGGAGGTAGAGGGAATGAGATGGGGAAGGAGGGAAAGGCAGTATAAGAGTGTGTTTCCAGGACTGCAAGGGCTCCTTGCCACCAGAACTTCTGAGAAACATTCAGAGGACCTCCTAGAATTGCCTGTGTGAGGACAGGAGGCTGGGCCATGTGGCCACAGCCCCTGTCCTCCATGAGGGTGGCCCCAATGGCATGAACTCCCATCATACGGCCAGGCAGTGCTTCTGACACATAGGCAGGGTCAGAGGAGCCCCTGCAGGCAGCAGAGGAAAGCCTCGAGGTGTGTGCTTTTGGTGGATGTTGTCGTCACTGACTCTGAGCTTGCTGAGACCTGACCAGTATGGTGGCAGCTGGAATCAAGAGTCCTCGAGCGTCTGCTATGGGAAGGATCAGTGCCGTAATGGGAGAAGGACTGGGTGCGCTAGAAACACCACCAGGAGGCATCTCATCCAGAGATTGGGCAGGGTCTCTAAGCTGAGACAAGACCAGATGAATGGGAGCTGAACTGTAGGTTCAGGACCGTATGGTTGGAGCTTAGATGGCAAGGGTAGATGTGGTGAGGGGAGAGCAGGAAGACCTTTCAAGGTAAGGAGCGTGTCTTCCTGTAAGAGCAATAAGGGGTCGGGGAAGAGACATTGAAGTAGAAAGACATGATAAGCTTTCTGTTCTAGAAAACTCACCCTGATGACAGTATATTGAATAGATGCCAAGGTGGAGCAGGTGAGAGTGGGACAGAACAGAAGTCAGGGGGCCGGTGAAGAGACTGCAGTTGCCCAGGTTGGAGGATATAATGGTGAGGACTGGGGACACATGCTAAGTCCCTGTATCCTCACTCATGCTCTGCTCCCGGTAAATACAGCCTGAATGTGTGCGTGCACGCATGTGTGCGTGTGTGCATGTTTTGATGAGAGATTGTTGTAGGAAGTGAGTTATCTAGAAAAGAATTTTTAGAAGATGGGAATTGAAAGCTCAAAGCTGTGTGGAAAATTCTTAAGCAAACTGGAAGGTAAATAGCTGTGAGAAAATATCTCAAGTAAGTTCTCAGCTTAGTCGTGAGACAGCACAGGGCACCACACTGGGAGTCAGAAAGACCTTGCTTTGGCCTGGTTCTGCGTTTTCTATTGGCTTGACCTTTGTTGTGTCATTTAACCTCTCTGAACTCTGTTTATTTGTCCAACTCAAAATGAGGATGATGATGCCTGCCCAGCCTATTCTGAGTCAATGTTAAGCTAACAGCATGTGGTGGGAAATGACCGCAACAGTGAAGCTAACATCCTCCCGACCAACATGAATAGACAAGGGTGTGGAGGGTCATGGTTCAACCTGAAAGTCTTGTGTTCAGTTCGGACACCGGCCTGTCTGGTCATTCTGGGGCAGGAATGGGGCATCCTTCACTGGCCCTGTGCTGCAGGGAGCTGGGTTTCAGAAGGGTTAGTGTGACACTAGATCCTCTTAAAGGCTCTTCCCCCTATTCGGAGACTCGGTGGTCCTCCTTCACAGGCCATTGTGAGAGGAAGATGAGAAAATAGTGAATAAAGCACCTGGAGAATGAGCATTGTAGGCAAGTGAAAGGTATTACTGTTGATGTTATCAGGAGGCCTTGTGATTTTAGCTCACAGAAATTGTACACGTTTGACTCTCTTACATTTCCCAGGAAGACAGGAAGTAACTTCCAGTTTCCTGCATGGTGGTATACGACGTATTTTAGTTTCATAAAGAGACCAAAGGCCATGTCCCTTCCATAGTTCTTTCCCCTAATACCACCTTCTTACTAACTAGCTGCATTCTGTTTTCCTTATTTTTTGTCCTGCGTTTAACAATGACTGGAAACATGTGACCTGCTAAGACTTGACCTTGGGCATGTGGGGTTTCTCCCACAGTCCACAGTCGTGTCACCAGCAAGGAGAACACAGGCTGTATATTCCCTCCTTTCAGGGTGAGGAATGTTCTCCACCTCCTAGGAAAATCCAGGGTTCTGACTCACAGGAGTCGAAAAGGAAACTGATCTTAAGAGTCCTTTTAAGATAACTGTGACTTCTTGCTCATCAGTGTTGGGATCTGTTTCTCTTTCTCTTACAAGCATTCCCTGGGGTTTGAGGGCACAAATGATGACTGACTCAGCGTGGCTGACATTTATTACACCTTTACTCTGTGCCAGGTGCTATCATAAAGCACTTGACATAGAAGATACACTGGAGCCCTCTTGAGTCCCTATTCACTTGGTAGATGATAGGAAGCCAGGGCAGATGTGGTTAAGTAGCCTAAAGTCACACAGTTAGAGCTGGAATATGAACGTAGGCATGTGATTCCAAAGCCGTGTCTGAATCATGCTGTGCTTCTCCCTGCCTGCAAGCAGAGACCTGTCCTGCAGAGCATACGGAGGGCTTTAGGATTTCCTTTTCCTAGGTCCTTAGAGCAGTCAGAGATGTTAGGCAGGAAAAGTGCATTCGAATTCTGGTCTACCTAGTGTTCTCCACAGCAGACAGGAGGAACCCTAAATACAAAAATGGTTTCCATTAAGATAAATAGCCCTAATCTAGGGAGCCCCGTGCCAGTCAGAAAAAAAATATCAATCAAGAGTTTTTACATGCTACATGTTTCATTTTTTTCACTTTCTCTAGGTTAAAAAGATCAAGTGGCATGAGCAGCCTTTTGGGGAAAATTGGAGCCAAGAAGCAGAAGATGAGCACCCTAGAGAAGTCCAAATTGGACTGGGAGAGCTTCAAGGAGGAAGAGGGCATTGGTGAAGAACTAGCCATCCATAATCGAGGGAAGGAGGGGTAAGAACTAGTAGATTCTGTTCCTCTGAAAATTCTAAAAAATCTGAAAAAGTTTATTGTAGACAGGCCACCCAGTTTAAATAAGCAGGCACTTCTCCTGGTGAAGCAAATTTTGTCCGTTTGTCGGTGAAGCTCTGTTCTAATGTGGAACCGGTCCTCTGGGTGAGAAGAACACTGGGGGCGGTGGGGGTGGGCAGGGCGGGGCCAGTCATGTCTGCCAAGCCGAGCTCGCCGAATGACAACGGACATCTCCCGGGAACTTTAAGTCACCTCGTTTCGTCACGTGGTCAGATCTGGCTCGCTGTATCCGCCTTGTCCTGATCGGAATTATTTGGTCTTCTGAGAAGCCAGACCAGCGCAGTGCTTCCAGAGCAGAGCCAACAGAGTGCCTAGATGTTGTCGTCTTATTGTGGATTGTTTTTGTCCATGTCATTGTGGCCCGGCCTGGGGCTTCAACCTACATGACATGCTGGCCCTCACACGGCACCCTGGCTATCACTTGCACCCCTCCTCTTCACTTTGGTGTATGAAGAGGATGTCCATAGGCTCTGTAGTCAAGAATATCAAGAAAGGCAGTGTTTGGTGAGTACTTCGGAACCTCAGAAGGAGCTAAGAAGCTAACAGGGTCCATGGCTCAAGGTCATCACTCCCCCCGCCCCTAATGGTGAAAAGAAGTGCCGTGTGGCTGTCAGACAGTCTGGGTCCTCCCCGCCCTGCCCTTCACCAGGAAGGGCTCTCCCTGCAACACACAGAGCATTTCTGAAACTCAGCTCCTTTGCCTGTGAATTGGGGTAATGATACCACGCTGGGGGTAAGTGTGAGGATCTCATAAGATAATGCGTGTAACACATGTATGACACATACACATAATGCACATGAAGTACATAAAGTGCTTTGCAGAGCACCTGTCACATAGAAGTGTGCATTAAGTGGTAGTCATTCAGCTTCTAAGCTAAGTTATAATACAGACAGGTGAGGGGGTGATTTTCTGGGTCACATTTCTAAATTGGGCTTCAAGATTATTTGAATTAACCTAGAAGCTGATCAGTATGTTTAAAAAATTTTTTGTTAAATGACTTTATGAGCTTGGTTAGCCATCAGACTTCTGAATCAGTCTTCTGTCAAAGATGGAATGCTGCAGGACCGAGGTGGGAGTGCCAGAGTCCTCTGAGGAAGGCCCAGGATAAAGCCCAGACAGGAGACGCTGTTACCTAGAGAAGGTCTTTGACGTTTGCCCCAGACCTCCCCACCTTTGACTCCGCTCTCGTTGCTCACAGCTCATTCCTCTTCTCCACGTTTGCCTGGTGATCCAAGGCAGCAGGGGATCTGCCAGTGTGTGCGACACTCTATTGGTCCTCTGGGTATTGATTATGTGGGGCGGACACTGTTTCTTCTGCTCAAGTTAATAGAGGTCTTATAAAAGTAGGGAGTGGTGCTGTTGAAGATAAGGCAGAGCTAATAAAATGTAGACTGGAAGAGAAAACAAGATTAAAAGGCCATCTGCCCAATGAGGACTTCTCAGGCAATGGAAAATCACGTAACTGGGTTCGGGAACCACTAATAGGCGTGCAGCTTTTAAGCGCCCTGCTTTCCCCACTTCTCTGAGACTCCTCCCCCCCCCCCCCCCGATGATTCCACCGATCTGATTGTGTTTTTCCAGGGCAAATCTGATGACTTCTTTGCTCTGCCTCTGGCTCTTCTCACCTTCCCTCTCTAGTGCCCGTCCCCACACCTCCACTCACTTGCCTTTCCTAACTCTTGCAGGCAGATTAAAGGGGCCCAACCCCTAGTCTAGTCCAGGGAACACGCTGTAGCTCGGATTCTTACCTTGGCTTAGCATGAGAATCGTCTTGTAGGGGTGGTTTCAGAGTTGGGATGACAAGGCCACTACTATACAGGGCCACTGAATCGAGAGTCACAGAGACTTGTATCTTTAACTCACTCCTCAGGTGCTTCTGATGCACAGCCAGGGTGGAGAATCACTAGACCGTAGCATCAAAATTCTAGAGATGAGAGCAAGACAACCAGCTGCTGGCTGAGCCTTTCCAACACATACGTAATTGGAGAGCCAAGTTCAAAACCAGGAATGTCAAGAAGGGCAAGAAGATTTCTCCAGAGAAGTGTGCCCAGTGCCACAGTGTTGACAGAAGCACAAGAACCAAACCTGTAAGGTCTGTTTGGGCAGAGGCAGGTCAGGCCCCAAATTCTCTTACACAGATGCCAGCAACAACAAAGGCATCACCGGGAGGGGCTACTCTGAGGGACTATGTGGAGAATCCCAAGAGGCATCCCCCTGGAGTAAAAGTGATCTTTGCTGAAACCCAGAAGGGGGGGAAAGTCATATTTGATAACATCTCAGAAGAGCTCCCTATGAGTATTGATTGATCTCTGCCATATATATATTTATAAGACCTTTTCACAAGTACCAAATTTAAATTGATCTCTTATACAAGAATTCAAGTCATAAATGATGGTAAAAATATTCCTGTTATGCAGTCCTGATTAAAATAAGATTGGATTGAGATAAAAGCTTATGTCATGCTTTTTATGTTTTGATAGTAACTCCAGTTCAGTAAATGCTAACACATCTTTCCGCTTGTAAAGATTGGATAGAATTTGAAGCAGATTGGTCAATATTGGGTTATTTTTGTCCAGTTATTTTAAAGGCAAGTTTGCCATCTTAAAATATGCACATAAGGAGACGAGGTACCTGGAGAAACTGCAGGCACAGGACCAGATCTGTTCTAAAATCTGTATCTGATACATCCGTTGTCTACATTCTTTGCAGAAAATTTACCAGAACTTTCACTGAATGTCAATAAACTAAACGCTCCAGTGAAGGGACAGAGATTGACATATTGAATTAGAAAACAAAAAACAACTATATACCGGTTAAAAGACACACGTCAAAACAGTGGGATGCAGAATTGGTGACAATAAAAAAGATGGGTGACAGGATAAGCCATGCAGCCACGAACCAGAAGAAAGCTGATAGTAGACAAAACAGACTTGGAGACAAAAAAAGCATGACCAGAAACGAAGAGACGGTTGCCTGATGATGATGGAAACAGTGCATCTGGGAGATATGACAGCTCACGCTCGGATGTCCCCCTTGGCCTTGACCACCAGGCTGCACTTACTCCCTGCGACTCAGCAGTCCCACCCCAGCTGTGTTCCCAGCAGAAATTCCGTTGTGCGTTCCCCAAAGACAGGTGTGAGGATTTCAATGATAGTGTTTTCATAATATCCCCAAACTGGAAACAACTCAAGTATCTACCAGTAATGCAACAGGCAAAGTGTGGAGATCGTATTAAATGGTTCATGAATCAGGCAGCATCCCGTCTACCAAGTAGAGGGAAGCTCCAGAGGGCTACAGAAAGGGAAAGGTTTTTAAAGGCAGGACAAGGAAGTCATAAATAGAAGGATTATTTCAGGTGAGGTCACCTCCGTCTGGGGACAAAAGGGTTTTAGTAGGTGGATTACCTCCTCTTCCTTTGGAGGATGAAGAAGGCCCATGTGACATACAACCTTATTGGTGCTGACCGGAGAATTCCTGACTGACCGGTTAAAGGTTACATTCCTAGAGGGTTGAAACTGCAGTGAGGTTGGGTATTAAGTCTGGGTTGACTGACTTGGGGCTTTAACCTAAGTGACACCATTTTGGGAATGAACATGGGTAAATTTCAATAACATAGTAACACCAAGAAGTTCACACAGTATGATCCCATTTACATAAAGGTCAAAGATGGGCAAAAGCAGTGCATCTGTTGAGTTATTTTGTGAAAGAAGCAAGTCACAGAAGAATTCACGGTATAAGTCTATTTATGTCAAGTTCAAAATTAGGCACAACTAGACCAAAATGTTGAGGGCATGGAAACTTCAAAGGCAGGCAAGCTCGCACCTGGCCAGGCTGACGTTGGAAGGAGAGTTATGCAGGGGCCTCCTCCGGGCTGCCAGCCTTCCACTTCTTCATCTGGCCATGGCCACGTGAGCACTTGCTTTACGACAGGGCGTTTGCCTTGCCCGTTTTATTCACTTTAATCTTGTGTGTTACATTTTATGACAAAACTGAATTGAAACTGGGGTGCCCAGGTGGTGCAGTTGGTTAGATGTCCTCCTCTTGATTTCAGCTCAGGTCATGATCTCAGGATTGTGAGATCGAGCCCCAGGTCAGGCTCCACACTCAGTGGGGAGTCTGCTAGAGATTCTCTCTCCCTCTGCCCCTCCCCACCCCCACTCAATTGTGTGCGAGTGCACAGAGCGCATTCTCTCTCTCTCTTTCAAATTAATCTTTAAAAAATAAAACTGAATTGAAGTTGAATTTAAATCCTGCTACCAACCTGCCATGTGTTATAGCCCACGTCTTCATCTATAAAGTAGAAACTCTGTAGTATATATACCTCTCACGTTTATGAGAATTAGGTAGAGGAGATATCTGGTGTGTTTGTAAATATAGTGAGTCCTATGCTCACTCTTCTCTCTTCTATCTGCCGTTACTGACCACACTGTCAGGGGCATTACTGCAAACGGAAAGCTGGGTGCCTGATTCCTTTAGATTCCCTCCTGGTGTCTTCCTGCCAACCCTTCAGGAATACTTTCCACAAAGGTGGTAGATACAGCGTGGGGGTATGTCCTCCCGGCCTCCCTGGCTAGTCCTTCCTTTCCCCAGCTTTTAAACTTGGAAAGTCCCAGGACTGAGCTCTGGGCAGCTGTCTGTCCTCCCATTGCCTGCAGACCAACCCCGCCCAGGAGAGCTCACTAGTTCCAGTTCCACAGCTTAGGTACCACATTCTGCTGATGACTCCCAGAAAAGCTCTCCCTTGCCCGACCATTCCACTGAGCTTCAGACTCCCAAATCAGCTGTTGGGTTGACACCTTCATTTGCATGTCCTAGACACACATCAAACTTAACATGCAAAATCAAATACTTGCCTTTCTTTCCATAAAGTCTTCTTCCTCAGACTTCTCAGAAAATGACACCATCACCATCCACCCAACTG